GCCAGAGTTCTGCGTAGGGTTTAGGAATAAATCCTAAAGTTCCACAGCAAATAAATATATACATAAGGAAATATAAACTGCACAAATTATGACAGTAGAGAATAGGCTTCAATATAAGTACATATTTGCTTATTATTTTCTTACCTTGACACTTACGCTTTAAAGTTGACAAATGTGTGCTTATATGAGTGAAAGTGCTTTTGAAGGTCCTCTGTGCACTGCTTATGGCTCCCTGTTAAACTGGTGGCTTCTCTGACACAGTACAATACAGTCAATGGTCATGAGGGCTATTCCTTCAAAAGAAGGATAGGCACAGACTGTTGGTCCATGTGTTGACAGCCCATCGTACATGCAAAAGCTTTGCCTATAAATGTATAAGAAAACAAACTACTGAACAAGTAGTGGATGTAGTGATTAGTAGTGGAATTTTTGATGTAACAAAAAGTATATTACACAAGGTATTATTGAACAGAGGTACCTGGCAAAGAGTTTGTTATTTTAAACATGATAAACATGATGATAAAACCATTGCTGGGTATTTTGGATATAAAGTACAGAAAAAAGAATGCTGTAGCATCTATTCTCATAGACATGCTACAGAAGGGTTTAAAATCAGAGCACTTTTGTCCTTAATATAACTTGCTTTTACACTTAAATGAACTGGTTTTACTTTTAAATGCAGCTAACATTTTGAAAAAAAAGAGTTTTTGAAAAACACTGAATTAAACTGAAAAAATAATAAACTTTTTTTGAAAAAAAAGGTTGTAACAAAATATTTTGACTATTTCAGCTTACTCTCTTTCCCCATCACCTTTTTCCATTCTCGGTACTTCACGGGCATGATATGATTTTTTAGTTTTCCAGACCCTCCCCTCAAATCCTGTACTTTTAGTAATCACCAAAGACTGGCACCTGGTGGGTATCCACATCCCTGCAAGATGCTTTCCCTGGTACCAGCCACCTCCAAAGGCTTTGGGAACTGGTGGAGTTACTACCACTCCAACCTTACCTCGTTTCCCCAACCCTGTCAGCTGTGCACGGTCCACAGGAGCACAGCAAGCAAATCACTAGTACTTACTGTCTTTCTGTTTCAGTTGAGGAACACTTAGCACAAGAATGAAGTGAGCTAAGCCTCAGAGATTCTTTAACTCACACTCATTGCTTCACTGAAGTTGTTCTGGTGCTGGGGAATAACTGGTGCTGCTCTTTCAGTAAGGGCCTACAAGGAAGAATGCGCTGAGATGGTTTTCTGGCTGTGCACTCTTCATTGTGCTGTGGAATCTCTGGCCTTCTCCTCAATCATCCCTGGTTTATGCCTTTTAATACTGTTGAAACAACTAAAGGGAGAAGGAATCTCTATCAGTTTCTACATGCAGAGGCAGCTGCAATTTGAAAGCCACATAAATCTAAGAACTGCACATTCATCATATTTCTAATTCAGCAGAAGCATAAAATAAATACAGCATAAAATTTCTACACATGCATGGACCATATGAACACTTTCAGAGCTAGCAGGAATACTGCAAAGGAAACAAAGACAATATTAGCAGGAAAGGCTTATGGAGCCTTCTTATCAAAAAAAAAAACAAAAACCTATGCAAGTATGGAATATAGGTGATTTAAGAACTCCAAAAAGAGCCTCTTCCATCACTGTCAAAGAAACTTACTTTAGAAACAGAAAAATTGCATGTCCTCCATTTGCAGACGTTCTCCACCTTCCTTTCCAGGCATAGACAAGCTGGTATGAGCGCAAAAGTTTAAGAGGAGGCTGTAGCTTCTTCCATTAGTGGACATGGCACATACACTCATGATAAATGAAATGGTAGCAACTTCACACTCTCTTCTCTTTTTCCTTTTCCTCCTCCTGCACCTCCTTGCATTCATAACATTACTTCATCTGGCTTTATCTACAGTGGTTAGCCTAGTTCCCTACAACGGGGTGCCAAGAAAAAGAAATCATTCCTATTTCTGTTAAAGCAACATTTACTGCTGAAGATATTTACTGTAGAGTTTAAAAATTATGCTCTGCTTCCAGATTAGAAAGTTTCTATGGGCATAAGTAAATCAGTTTAAATAAAATGTCAAGGTGAGCCTAACTGTCTAGAAATGAACATGACCTCTTTAAAGGTCAAGAACACTTTCCCTTTTTATTAATAATTTCGCCTTTAGCTGCAGCTGAAAACAACAATAAACGACTGTCACAAAAAGGACTAGTCTAACAATGCTTCCCTCCTAACTGTTAAGTAAACTGCACAGAACTGTCATGTTTTTGGATTAAATACATTTGGGTCTGCTTCATTAAATAAATAAAAAAAATAATAATCAATCCGGTTTGCCCTGCTTGCTTCCACCTAACCCTTGAATTAGCATTATCATCACTGTCACAAATCAACAACATTAATGTGGTCCATTCACTGGAAACCTTTTTGGCAAGTTCCATTCATCAACTTCCTAATAACTACTAGAGATTTCAAGCAATGCACTCAGCTGCGTTTGACCAGCTTACCTTGCAGCCTATGTGTTCTTCAGAACTTCCCTATAGTTTCTGCACTAAATAACCTTAAGTAAGTATTATACATTTCTGCAAGACAGTAATTATTTGAAGCAGCCTCTGAAAGCTTATTGTCATCACCTATGTGCAGGATAAACATATTTAAAACACAAATGTGGCAAGTTAAAGAGGTTTACTGATAATAGTGGTGTGTTCTTCTGTAATCAAGGATACAACAGTCATAAGTGCATACTGATGATAGCTAATACACTTAGAGATATACTTACAGAATCATGCTTTACTTCATGTGGCAAATAATTGAAATTGACTGGACAGTGTGAGCAACCACAGGAGAGAATATGCTCTGAAGTACATTAAAATAAAAAATGAAAAATGAAATGAACGTTGCTTTCAGAAAACTGAAACACTCAAATTATTACCTTTTCCAGGCCTATTCTATTACATTTTCAGGCCCACAATGAACTGAAGGACCTGATGTTTTAAAATTACCATGTGCACTTGGCTGCAGGGTACAATTGGAAAGAACAGAGGGTCTCTGGCAACAATGCGTTCTACTGTCGCTAATAGTTCTTTTTTCCACTGCTGCCTCATTGTAATCATCTTCATGACACTGCAGTGAATCTCCTTTTCTGGACCCACTATGACATCTGACTTTGAGTAGTTCAGATAATGTGCTGCTGATTAATAATTACAAGTACAAGATTATGCTTCGGTGCATAGAAGTGATGTTTAAATTTAAAGGATAGCATGATCCTGGCAGATATTACTATACCATTATTTTCATGCTTTATCTTTCTAACAATTCAGCTCAAGGGATATACTAAAAATAAATGAAATATGGTCAATTTCTTTCTCTTGAATGCAGAATAGGACCAAATGAACTTTTTCTGGTGTGTAATAATGCCTCTCAGAAAAAACAGCTGTTTTAAAATCGAGAACGAGATCATCACAGTAACAAATGTACAGTGTGAGCAGTATGTTGTCATTTCAGTGCTGACAGAAAGCACTACTCAGCAGAAAATATCTTGCTTCTCCTCACTTGCTTTGAACTTGTCAGTTTCTTTTTACAAGGTTTCTTCATCATCTGTAAGTACTTACCATGGCCATGCGATAGGGGATTACAATATTATATCTCCTCCAACTATGTGTCATTAAAATTATTCAGCTTTGCTTTGAGATTCAAAGTCAATTCATCTGCCGATTAGATTAACTGTCTCTGAAGTCTCCAGTCCAAGATGTGAGCCCCAAATCTATTTAAGAGTACTTATATCGTACTCCTGCAATGGCAGTATATAAGAGCTCTCCCGGTCCAGCTGGAGCTCCAGTGCCGCAGGCAGGACCCAGGCTCTTGGGCCTACTGTGACAACCTATTTTTACCTGTTTGTTCAGTGGAGGTCTGTGACTACCTGGCCTTCTTGACAGTCAAGTAAGTCTGGGATCCTTTTTAGTAGACACTATCTGGTGCTGTATTATCCTTGTACTTCTTCCTGCAAGCCATGCGGGAACATCTGCAAGAGAAAAGCTCCTTGAGATTTCAGTCTCACGTGGAATTTGAACAGGGCCAAACATATTGTGGTCCTCCTTTGTTTAAATATTTAGTTTTCTTATCTGCTTTGAGTCTTTCTTGGCTCTGTTTTAAGAAACAAGATGTTCTTTTCCAACATCTGAAGTCTTTTTTAATAGATTTCTAATTAAAAAAAGACAGTACAGTACTCATCAGCAGGTGCTGCGTACGCTGGCAGCTTACCCAAAATAGCTATTCCAGACTAGTTATTCCAGAACTCCCCTTGTGGACACTGTTCCTCCAGACTAAAAAAGCTTTGTAGGTTTTCATTCTCAATTTTCTTTATCCACACTAGAACAGAAACAATTTAACTGTAAATAATTTTTCTGGAATATCCATTCTGGTAAACTTCCAAGCACAGTCCCTCCAAACAGTAGCCAATGGAGAAGGAAAACATGAGGCTTTCCAGGGCTCCAGGGCATATTCTGGATTTATAAATCAGCATTCTCTGTATCAGGTCCTTGAAGAATCTTTGCTTAATAATTCTGTAGTAAAAATGATTATTTTTCATACTGTTGCCACAAGATTCCGTATCTGATATGGCCCATCATTCAGCAAACAGTCACGAAAACAGTGAAATCGACAAAAAACTGCTCTGGCTTGTGGTTTTTTAGAGACAAAAAAGATGCAAATATCTAGGTTTCCCAGAAGACACAATGAAAAAATTGTTACAGAAAGCTTATACTTCAGCCTTAAAGAACAGCATCAATAAAAATCTGCATGAGGATGTATGTGTATTTTACAAATGCACAAAAACATACAGAAACTGCAACTAGTGTTTGCAAGAGCAGTAAAGCAGACTATATTCTCAAGCCAGTTTCTCAGTAACTTTGGCTTTATTCCAGTGTAATTTTTCTGAACTCAATATACTTTAGTGCATCTGACATCAAAATATTGACCCAAGGGGCAACCTACTTGGAGACAAAGAAACAAAACCATTTTTTTCTCCGTTAGATCATACTCATCTTATTCAGGATGGATTTCTATAATAGTAACTGAATGGGTTAATCAATAAGCTTTCAATCAGCAAAAAGCTTTAAGTAATCAAATCTGCTGAAATTTTCAAGACCTCTTTACCTGTGCGAGCGTCTGGCATACGATGCTTTTCATTTGCCAGACTTCATCCAAATGAAAGGGATTTGTTGTAGAAGGAGAAGCCTGAGAGAAATACACCAGGCCTGCTCTTCAGTGGAAATGACTGCCCGTCATACGGAACGGGGTGCAAAATTGCTGTTTGTCCATTCTGCTGCTGGGGTACGACAGCCCCATCAGAGGGCAGGTTGTCAGCACACGAAAGATCAGGTTCTAAATGGAATGTCAATAAAAGAAACATCACTGATTAAACTCCATTTGTATCATGCCAGAAAGAAACACAATGACTCAATTCCCCCCTGGGAAATGGAATGTTTTAACTTTTTTTTTTTTTGGAAGTTATTTATTGAATGAGTTTCCAAATAATGAGGAAGCACTGAAGCAAAGAATACACACTAATTTTGCAGGGAGAGAAATTCATTATTTTTAAGTGGCTACCGTAAAAAAATTCCCTCATTAAAAAAATGGAACATGAGATGTAAAATTCTGAAATGCTAAAATTTCCCTTATTGTCTTCTCTCTGGTAATTAGTCATTCTATCTAACAGGAAAAGTCATGCTTGTGTTTATTCTTCCCTGTCCTTTTCCTTTTCCTTTTGGCAATGTGTAGCATCATTTCAAACTGGGTAGATTGAAACTACTACATATGCTTTAATTGCTGGTGCAGATCCCTGATTTTAAGCCCCTGATTGCAGTATACGTCTATATTAAAAATAACACAGGCCTTTCTACCATTGACGTCTGCCCCAGATGCAGGCTATATCTGCTACCAGCTATTTTCTTCTGGTTCTAGAGCCATCTTCCAAAGGTTCTAGATACATTTGTTTTTCTTAATTCCCTTCAAACACATTATTTAAGCTTCAGGATGAAGTTTCATGACTAAAATGGCAGTAGTGAAGGAACCCTAAAAGTTTATGCCTCAGTAGTGAATGTCACTACCCTCAGCTACAACATCAGATTCCCTAACAGAGTTGACTGGCCTTACAGCAAGCTGGCCTCTCAGAAGAGAAAGTATGTTATCAGTGTTTCTCTACTAAATTATTCCATTTACACACTGGATACTAAACAAGACAGATCTGCAGCATCGGCTAACCCCTTCTATGGGGTATCCCTGTCCCACTTCAGCATAAAAACAATTAATGTGTACTTCATATTTTTCCTCATATATTTTAGCATTATACAGTATATAAACTTCTGGTTAAGTAGGCTAATGAAATGTATCTAATTTCTGGTATTAAGGAAGATATATCCCGTCTTTAAACATTTCGCTCATGCAGTTTATATAGTACTCTTAAACTGATAACAATTAAAATACATAATGCATATAATATATATAATATGTAAAATATATAAAATACATATCCATATAATGCCCTCGAAGAGACAACAACAAATTGCGTTAACAGATTAAATAACATTCTGGAGTTTCTTACCTTGAGCAATACCTTAAGATTTTATCAACAAATCTTGAATATAACCTTCACATTTCATCCAAAATCAGACAACTAGGGGTTTGCCGACTGCTTTTTAATGTCATACAAATCAGAAAAATGTTTTGGCCTTTGTTTCACTGCCCTTTTAGCAAATGCACTCAAACCTTTAAACCATTCGTTTCTATTCAATTTGCTTTTGTATCTGAAATACTCACCTTTTTACTCTTGGAAGGCAGAAGAATTTGCTAGGACACTTTTTATAATGGATTTTTTTCCTTTCAGACAATTTCAAACAACATAGCCCTCCCATGAACCCAGCCTTTTTTTCCCCAACCCAATTGGGTTCCAACCCTTTTTTTTGTAATCCGATCACAATGGCACCCCTGTGACAAAATCACCTCTGGGTGTATCATGCTGCATGTAATATGAATTACTGAATACAAGAATCTACAAATAAATGTGTTTTTTTTTTAACACCGAACTTGCATGTATTTTGTTAGAAGAGTTAGAAGAAGGAGCGTTTGATAATTGAATAACTGTGCTTCCTTACTGAAGTCATTTCCTGATAAGCAGCCAAACTAATTTTCTAAAATAAATAAATGAAAGAGCTTGAATAACTCAGTCTTCCTGACTGGTCACAACTGGTGCAGTATTATCCCAGCTAAAGACAACCTATGTTATTAGTTTCCTCCTAAACAATATGTACAAGCCAACTAAAAACATAATGAATTTATTTTCCTGTTTAGATTTCTAAATCTGAAGGGGTAAACCCATTCACAGCAAACAACTGTCCAAGAAATTAATAATTTCTTTGTTAAACAGCAATTAACATTTTATTCATTAGAAATTAAATAACACCTTCAATCTTAACTTTCACTTTTATTTTCCTCACAAAAGTGAGGTCTTGCTCAGGTTTAGCAGAATTAATTGTATTTTTGTAAAATATGGTTAAAGTATATGTATATATAATTATCAAAGACACTACTTATTTCTGAAAGTGGCATTAGCAGCAGGAAATAACATTGGCAAAAACGAGGAACTACTTCAGACAAAATAAAAAACAAATCACAACTTCCATCTGAAATTCACATTGAAATAAGCTTAAGACTACTTCCAGAGACTTTAAAAAACAGGCTAACTGATGATGTGTGCAGAATATAAGACTAACTACTGCCGAATGCACGTGCAGGAGTTTTAATATACATAAAATCAAACATGCAAACTCTAAACATCTCAAAAAGTTTTTTGGAAGTTCTATTAAAGCCATTCCCAACGCTTTATTGGAAGTAGTTCCTATCCTCAGTAAACTACTTTAATGTTCTGCCATCATGTCAATGAACCTTTGTAGTCATGCTCTGGCTTCTACAAAAAAAAAACAAACAAAAACAAACCAGAAGTAGCTTTCTATTTGTTTTTTCTTTTAAAGTAACTACTTTTTCAGTGTTGTGACCTTAATTCAGAACAGTGTATATCTGTACACATTTATGTCTTTAGAGTGCATAGCTACACAAAAAAGACTGATAATTGATCTACTGCTTAGAAACTAACAATCCTTTATGGGAACCCTCTTAAATTAATGAGTCAGTAGATTCTCAAACCAAGGTAACAAGATTTGCAAATACTCTTCACCAAATCTATCACCCTCTTAGTCCTCTCCATCCTCTGTAGGAAGCAGTAATTCCTACTGAAGAAAGGCAGAGTGCCTTGTATATGCACGTGCCAGTCGCTTTGGTACACTGTCAGATGACACGGCTTAAAATACTTTAAATTTACCTTTGTTAAACTAGTTAGCAGACTCTGTATTGAAGTGCTTAAAGAGAGTATTCATATGTAAGCAGAATGGTCCAGCAGAGGGGCTGTAACAACAACGGAGGGGACAGCTTATGAAGTAAACTGTGTTTAAGATAGTTCATCACAGCAGCATAGTGCATTTCCTTCCAAGTCCATTTGAAACCCTCAGTATGCGAAGGCAGAGCTTTATTAGTGAGAATATAAACATTATAGGCCATGTTGCCAGCTTCATCACGGGCTGTGTATTGAACCTGATAAGTTCTGTACTGGAAGCCATTGGATATAGAAGCAACTCCATTGTCATCAGCAATTTTAGGTTATTCCTAGCTGACTTGTACTGGATGTGTCTTAGTGGTTACAGTGATGGCCTGTGGACAGTTTGTAATGGCTGGAGGAACAGTATCTGCGGAGTTCAAGAGAGACAGGATGACCCTGCTAGGATGCTGCAAAGTAATAAAGCATATTTCAGAAAACAGAAAGCATACGATAATGAACAAAAACACTGACAGATTTCCTGTATAAATGTCTGTAGGAAATATTTCCCATCTAACCAGATTTAAAAGTGGTAACAGGTTCACTTTGTATGAAAGATGATTGACATCGCCAGTTTCAAAACAGAATGTAAAAAAATCCACCAGCGAACACCAAGAACCTGCATTAATGGCACCCTAGGTGTACAGAGACTTCAAGAAAGCCAAAACCAAAAATATTCTGAAACTAACTTCACTCTTTCAAGTAGAGCAGCAGTTAGTATTACTGCACAGCAAAGTCATCGTTCTTAAATATATATTTTCTCATCTAAATTTTAGACCACATTAAGACTTTTACAATCCCTGTTAATTTAATTAATTTAGACTTCTAAGCAGAAGATTTAAACAGAGGGAAAAGTACAGATGCCTTATTCCATATTTTAAATGATTTCTCATGTTGAAAGTACAGGGTGTAAATTTCTACTGGGAGAATACAATTTAATCCATGACATCACTGACAGCCCAGGGCACCACACTGTTACTCTGATATTGCAGAACCAACCCTAACACCTATGCAAACATCCAATATGAAATTTCAAAATGATACCTACCTCCCAGTATTGAATTATTCTGAGATTATTCCTGGAGATTTAATATACACACATGCCCGAATGAAACAAGTATTGCAAGGTAACACTACCCAGTAGATAACCACTACTGAGCATTTCTTCCTTTTTCTCCTCCTTCCTTTCCTTTACCCCCTTGCTTCCTAGGGCAAAAGTTCACAAACACAAGACTGTCCCATCTGTTTGCAAGACGACTGTTACTACTCAGGCCCTCAGCAACTTCAGTTTACAAATATTTGGCTGCAATAAGAGATGATGTGCTTTTTATTGCTTTTTTTCACCCAGAATGAACTCTCAGACAAAACTATAATCAACTCCACCTTAATAGCAATAATCAGTGCTTAAATTAGTAGATTATTATTCATTATCACTGTTTATTTGTATTCTGTGATAATCAAAACTCCAGAGAGGATCAAGACTACATGCTATAGAAATCTGGAGAAAGACAGTGCATTTCCATTGGACTGTTTACAGTTTTAATTAGAAAAAAACCTGTAGCGAGCAAATTATAGCCAATAAAAAAGTAACTCCTCTTTGTTAATGTAGTCAAGCCATCAGTAGATAATATGCTTCAGGGGAAAAGTTTGTAGATATTTTAGCCAAATGTATTACGAAGCACATTGTCATTCGAGACATTAGAATGAAAAAAAGGAGAATATTGTCTGGAAGATGGGCAAAGTAAATGATCTTACTGGCAATGCTCTGTACAAATTGAACTATGGTGGGTAGGGCAGCCAAGCGGTAATCTGTCTATAGGTTTGTGCAGCCAGTGTTTCACAAAGCCTATGAGAAACCCTATGGAGCTGTAGAAAGTATCAGCACTGTATGACAGCGAGTTACTTCAGTAGAGGGTCGTAAAAGACTGCCTGATCTCAATTAGAACACGCTCGTTTA